AGGAGCTCCTTCTGGGACAGATTGGAAGGCTCTCTTTTCCATCTAAGTGGGGAGGTTGGGCCCTCTCCCAAATGCTAGAGGGGTTTTCCCTGCCCACTTTACAAAAGGAAAACTCTGGAAGTGTGCTTGCACCTTACTACAGCTTTTTCTGCTGGAAGGGCCAATCTGTCCTAGGGTGCCAGGCTGTTGAATCAATATTATTTGATTTATTTGAATAATATCAACAATTTTATGGAGTTTGGAAATTATCACCCTCTGCAAGAAAAGCAATAAAACTTATCTTTCTTGAGAAACATATTGTTCCTGTTCTAAAGGAAAGTGCTATATAAAACATTTTATCCTTTTCCTGAAGACACGTATTGTTTTCTTTTTCTTTTTTTTTTTTAAGTCTTTTATTTCCCTCTCCAGAAGTATGATAAAAAAACTCATCAGCAATTCTTTGTGTGTGTGATTGAATCCCAGGGAAGAGACAGCAATTGTTTTATGAAGTAGACATGATCCCAGACTTAAATACCACTCCTGAGTATCTTGGAACAATGAAAGGGAAGAAAACTCTACCCGCATTTTGCAGGTTAGACCATCTGTACAGACCTATGCTAGAGCACGCTGTGATTAGCTAAGTAGCAGGCTGTCATGCAGGTTCTTATCAGCTATAAAATGGTGAAGAAGAAGCATCTTGATCTGTTCACTTGTTTTCATAAATTGTAAGGCCGGAAGAGACCTTGGAAGATCATTGTGTCCAGCCACCTGCACCAAGCATCTGGGGTCAGGTGGCCCCAGCAAGGTGACCATCCAGTCTCCTCATGAAGATTTCCAGGGTAGCTGATTGCACCACCTCCAGAGGGAGCTTATTCCACAGTCTGGACACCCTGACTGTGACGAAGTTTTTCCTAATGTTGAGTCTGAATCGATCTTCAAGGAGTTTGTGGCCGTTACTCCTGGTTTTCCCTTCGGGTGCCCTGGTGAACGGTTGTTCACTGAGCCCTTGATGTACTCCCCTAGGTCCCATCTCAGCCTCCTTTTCCTCAGGCTGAAGAGTCCCAGATACTACAGCCTTTCCTTGTACGGCTTGTTGTGTAAAGCTGTTATCATATGGGTCTTCTTTGGGCTGTCCAAACCTTGTTCATGTCCGTGTTAAAGTGCAGTGCCCAGAACAGTACTCCAGCTGCGGTCTCACTAGTGCTGAGTAAAGTGGAAGAATCACCTCCTTGGTTTTGCTGGAGCTGTATTCATTGATGCATGCCAGAGTGTTATCTGCCCTACTGGCTACAGCATCACACTGCCAGCTCATATTCATACTGTGATCTACTATTACCCCCAGATCCCTTTCACTTGTGGTGTTAGTCAGTTTGGTGCCGCCAAGGCTGTAGGTGTGTTGGGGGTTGCTCATCCCAAAGTGCAGCATTTTACAGTTCTCAACCTTGAACTTCCTCAGATTCCGATCTTCCCATGTTTTAGTCACATGAGATGTCTTTATTAAAAATCCTTACATGAGTGATTCAAGTAAGGATTAACCAGGCATTTCTAATAATAATAACATGTACCTTTCAGGCTCAAGCGGAGGTGCATCATAGTTCGTTTAGTCCAAATTATGTGCTGTATAGCTTATCGCAGAAATAAAGATTAGATTTCAAGATATTTATTCACATTTGACGTATCTGATGGATGTAAGTTTCTTTTCCCCTTAAGCAAGTTTTTGTGTTTGGCTTTGTTTTCTTTCATCTTTTCCATACTGGTCCTAGCTCCTGCACTATCCATGCTCTTGGTGTTTGTCTCTAAACCGAACGACAGAGTTGGACTGCCCAAATGATTAGGGCTTGGGAGAAATCCCCACTCTGCCCCAGGCTCTGTAACCTTGGGGAGAGCACTTAGCCAATCTCTGCCGCAGTTTCCTATTTGTAATCCAGGGACCGCACTTCCTCACTTTTCAGGGCACTGTGAGGATACATGCTTTAAAGCAGCATTTCCCCAACCTTGGGTGATTACATCACCTCAGCAGTGAAGTTGACCGCTTCAGATGCTGCTGGCATTCATCCACAACTAAATTCCCACTGATTCCCCCTGCTGCTGAAGTGCCTCTGATATCCTCCTCCCCCTCCCTCCTCCCCCTGGGAAACTTTTACGCCCCCTTACTCCCCAGGGCACATCCCAAATTTTGCAAAATGCTGCTTTAAATGATTTGACATACTCAGGTACTCAGATAATTTGGTCCATGCGAGTACTAGAGAGGGAAAGAAAAATAACCAACCTGTTCATAATTGCAGAACAAATCTTCCCTTATTTGACGCCTAGGCCCCTTCAGTCATGGAAACAGGCTGCCCAGTATTCAATACGGCATGTTTTATCATATCAGTAACAATTAGGGTCCGATCCTCATCTCAGTTATACTAGTTAAACTGAGGGCAAACTAGAAGCAACTCCACTGACATCAGAGGGATTGACACCTCTGGAGTAAGTGTGATACAAATGAGACTCAGGATCAAACTCCCAAATGTTTCCAAAATGACAAAGAGAAAATATATATAGTTAGCTTTTTACCATCATTTATGTCAGAACCGTGGTTTTGTTTCTAACAAAACAAACCCTGTATTCATTTTTAATGAGCATTCGTTATATGTAACAGAGCAGAAATGTATAATTTTCTAACACTTATTTTAGACTGGAGTTTAATATTGGAATCTTTTTAGGTTTGCTTTTCTCTGCTGTCATACCTGTCAAAGAGAGGTAGACTGCCAAGCTCTATTTTAGATTGTCTCGCTAAATATTACAGGGGAAGACTGCCTTCATAGAAGGACCTTGCAATGTTTGGATCATAGTCATAATTTTGAGATGTGACAGATGTATATAAAATATGTATTTCTTCCCTGAAGAAAATATTTGTCCTTTTCTTCCTTGAGTTGCCTTTGTAGAGTATCTTAAAACCACCAAAATGGTGCACTTTGTAGTTGAGGCTCACCCCTTTTTTCCTATATAGTATTTTTGTGGGCTCTGCTTGGGACTTTCAAATTCATTCTCCCAAATTTGAGATGTGGGGGATTATGCGGTGGAGGGTGGAGAACTCCAGTATTCTTTTCACCATTGATAACCATCACATTGGAAGCCTGCATGCATTAAACAGGTGCCACTTTTTTCTGCTAGTGTCTTTCCTGCTTCAATTGTCCTTTAGCTTTGTTGGCCTGACTGTTGGTGACTTGCAGACTTTACCTGTTAGGAGCAGAAAACTGTTTTTATTCTTACCCATGCATGTTGTTTTCAGAGTTGGCTCGCATTCCCCAAATTTGCCTTATTCTGAATATCTTGGGGATGTTTGTGTTACAGAATACAAAGACACAAAAACTGAATAGAAAATTTTTCCATGTAAAAACCTGTATTGTTCTCTACGGGCCAGGGTAGTTGAGGGCAAGGCCAAGCCCTAAACCTATTTTCTTTCACCTAAATAGAAGCCAAGCTTCCTTCTATCAATCTTCATCACAGTTATTTCTCTGCTGGCTTGCAAGTACATGTGTCACTGACTTCTACTGAAGTGTAATGGGCCTGATCATGTGTAACGGATCCTCTCAGCGAGTGAAGTTTAACTCATCTGGTAACTAAAATTGAAATTCTTTTTAGCTTGCCAGCTGCCCTCACATGTACAAAGAACTGTCTGCCAGAATCCAAAGCAGTCTAGCCTAAATGCAGAAAAGGGGCAGCAAGCAGATATTTTTCATTTGTATAATTTAAACAAATAAATAGAATTGCTAATCTAAGAAGTGCAATAGGCATGCTCGTTCAATATTAAGAGAAAAAAAGTGAACTTGGGTTCCATCCCTTCTAGGTTATATATTTATCTGTAATTCCTTTCTTGGCTCTTGCCCTGTTTAGTTAAAAATAGGCTTTCACAGTATGCTCAAAGGAGTGAGAGAGTGAGATACAGTGCACTCTACCATCTGTATTGCACTCTCTATTGTGCCCTCTTAGTCATAGAGTATTTAATTATCCCGAGAAAATGGGTAACTTTGCACAGTCAAAGACTAGAAGTCGATTCACACCCTTCCTTATTTGAAATGCAGCCGAGTGCTACCCATAACAAAAGAGCAGATAGTTATAAGGAAAATGATGATTCTGAGGAATGAGGTATCCTGGAGGGTTGGTGCTAAAGTTCTTGACTTTAAGTGCCGTTGCTGTCTTTTGATCGCTTGCTCGCTCTCTCTGTGTGCAGGTAAGGTGCTTGGCCCCACTTCACTGAAGCTTCATTTTTCTGCTTAGTGCAGAAGCAGTGGGAGGTATAGGGAAAGGTGGCTGCAAGCCACCTTTATTTTCTTTGCCTTCTCTGACAGTCCACAGATGCTCTATCTTAATAGTGGCTAAGAATAGCCTGACTACAGTGCACTTCAGCCAAGCCCTCTCCCTTTTAATTTTCTGCAGCAAGAAAACGTATCATATGGGGTTATTCCCTGGAGGCCAGTTTTACAGCAAATGAGCTAAACCTCAAAGAGGTTAGGACCACTGGACTTTAGGTCTTGTGGCTTCCTTCTGTTTGTGCGCATATAATATATGGATGTTCATGTTTAAAGTCATAAGCCGGCATCCAATTGTTGACTCAGACTTCTGTTAAGCCCAGAAGCTTTGCTTGTGATGTATTATAAAGCCAGAAGCTTTGTTTGTGATGTATTAGCCTGACTACTGACATTTATGCAGTATGATGTATGCTTACCACTTCCTTCTATGGATGTGTGATGGATCTCTTAATCTATAATGGTTCCCTCTATTGGTTCTTTTAAGTGGAATTCTTTTGTTATCTCATCAGATAGAGGCAAGTCATTTTGGACCTAGTGGCCCTGAATCATCATAATTTATAGATAGTTCCTTAGAAGCAAGAAAAAAAAATATCACCAGGGCATTTTGAATCTGTCATTACCGGTCCATTCAGTGAGCACACAAATATCAGACAACGCTGAATATATAATAAAGTTAACTATATGTTAAACCCCAAGATCACACATTTCCCTTTATATTTTCAGAATCCTGCAGGAACAGCACCACTGAAAGAAACGCTGCTGAACTTATCAGATCTGTGCTGCATGACTGTAAATCAGCCTTAAAGGAAGAGAGGGGCCTGAACCAAGTAAACTGAGTGAGGTACTTTTATACTTCCCTATAAGTTCTATAAAGCAGGAGTCTCAACCTTCTCCATAGGTAGGACCCTTCCCCCTAATATTTAGCAGTATGGAAACATGAGGTGGCCCTGATCCTCTTGGGTCATGAGAGCTCTGCTCTAAAGGAACTGTTTTTTGAATAGAAATGCACTGGGTTAATTGATTGCAATATATAGCTGAGCTGTATCAAGAGAGATGGGCAGACCTGACCCATGTATTTTTGCAAGTACTTTCCTTTAGTAACAATGGAAGTTATCTACGGTAATCTCTGTGAATGGAATTAACTTAAATGCGTATGTACTTAAAGTGAGCCCTCACATAAGGCTTGGAGAAGAAAGATGCAATAGAGTAGCACTGAAGCTAGCATGAGTCTTTGGCATTAATTTTCACTGCAATCTCTCCTGGAATTTTAATATATTTGGTATGAAAAGGAAACATTTGGGGCTGAACCCTTACAAAGGTTCAACCCTATGGACACTGACGGGGCTTAGTAGAGCTGAAAATCAAACATGCGTATTCGTTTGAATATGGAACAATAAGGAGATAGATAGATAGATAGATAGATAGATAGATAGATAGATAGATAGATAGATAGATAGTTTTCTCTTGAGACCTTTAGGCATTAAGAAGTATGAGAGAGTTTGCTGTTATCCAGGGCTAGACTCTGTTTTAGCGGTGACTGAAAACTGTAAGCAAATGGGTATAAACTGCCTGGACACACCGCAGTTCAGCATTGCACCTGCTGTCAGTACCAGTGACAATCACACAGAGGTATTCTTTTAAGAACTACGGTGATATTTAAAAAATGAATGAACAAACATATGGGATGCCCAGAAAGAAGGGTCGTCATACTTTCCCACAGTCCTCAAATGGGAGAAGAAAGACTGCAAGTGAATAAGAGAAATAACCAATCTGGGTTTAGTTATTCTGTTACTCATTGACTTGCGTGTTCACAGCCATGAGGCTGCCTGTTTAGGGAACAGAAATCAGGAATGCTCGCTAAAAATTGCTACTTGTAAGTTAAAGTGTGTTTTTACATTACTTGTAACATATAAGGTGAAAAAACCTTGTGGGTAGCTTTTAGTAATGTACTTCCTTTTTGCTTTATTATAAAGTAATGTGAGAGAGAAAGTAACTGTGATTGATTGTCTGAGGCCATTCTTTTCTGGAAGCTGGCAACTTCACTGGTTTGCAGCACATTGACCTCCACTAACTTACCCTATTCCTTTCTTAAACTTTGCAATCTTCATTTATAGTACCTTGTCTTAGATTAATTTATAAGCACAATTGTAGTCCATTAATATTATCTTAATATGCATAACAAATAAATAATGTTCTGAGATTGAGATATTGATATCTGATATTTTTCTATGAGAAAAAGAAGCCCATCTGCAATAAGGCTGATTCAGATGCAAAGTCTTTTTATCATAATTTAACCATGGAACTTCAGAATAATCTTTCAAGTCACTGTATAAATGTAGCTGGTTCCTAAAGTGAACATATTCTAATTTTTCTTTTAGAATATATTGCACTCTTACAACCTTTCAATAAAACTGCAGTTTCCAATGCTCAAGGTTTGTCTTCCAGTAAAAAACTTTATCCAAGTTTTTTAGCAAATGAATTTCAACCAAAAAAAAAAAACTGCTTTGAATTAGGCAAGACAATTAGAAAAGACGTTAAACATCAACTTCCCTTTTCTCCTGTAAGCCAAACATTTTACTAAAGGTTGAAGATTATGATTAAAGATCATCACTGTTCTTGCTAAAAAAAATGATGGCACCAAACAAACAATAAATGGGAGGAAAAAAAAGTCTAACCAGCCTGGTTTTTTGTCCCAATGAAATTTCTCCCTTGGTATCCATAATAGCAAGACAACCCTATTGCTCTGTGTTTAGTTTTTTGACAGGCAGTACTGCAGCATGATGCTGGGAGAAAAATGGAGGAAAATAATGAAATTGATATAAAGGAGAATGGTCCTAAACTTCCTAATATATTAAAGACTAGCTGCTCCCTGTATTCATTGAGAATGTCAAACCTATTGGCTATGTGCCTTGACTTATAAAGAACTAAATGAATTTGGAAAGTACTTAAGTTTTACAGCTAATCATTATCATGAGTTAAATGACATATGATTTAAGAACAGAAATTCAGACTTACGCAGATGTTTAGAAAAACAACCAGACTTGCTTGTGCCAGTAGTCGACTGTTATTTGACTTTACTTTACCCGCAGCAACAATACATTTCTTAATTTCTAGAACAGTCCTCAATATTAAAGAGTTCACATGGTTGAATGAGAGGAAAAGTGAAAATCCTGAGTGTATTACAGTAATTAATTACAGAATAACTGAGCCACTAGTGGGATGCAGATCTTTTGATGCACAAGTAGACAGTAAAAAGGTCAACATGACGTTAGGATGTTGAGTGAAGTATTTTCCAAAGAGAGAGGAACAAATTAATGCCATTTTACAAGGCCCTGGGTACTGGAACACCATGTATAATTGTGGCCACCCATGTTCAAGAAAGACAAATTTAGAAGAAATTGGGTATGAGGAATAGCTGCTAGGATGATTAGGGGAATGAAGAACCTGCCTTATGAGAAGAAACTAAAATGGCATGGCATATTTAGCATAGGAAAATCAGGATTGAGCTGAGACAGGATGAGCCTTGCAAACATGTATACTATAAATATATATTTTTATAGCAGTTAAGATGGAATCCATCATTTACTTTTGACCAGCATTAACAATCTTGTATAACAAAACCAGGAGAATGAATCAGGATACAGTGACATATAGAAACTCATTGTTATGTGTTAAGGTTAATATTTTCCTAGCGTCTTCTGAATGTGTATTAACCAACTACCTCAGTCTTTGCAGTGGCAGGGCATTGGCAGTGTCCTCGTTTTCCCTGTTTTCACCTGTGATGTGTTATAGCATGTTCTTGGTGTTCATATGTTGTTTTCTGTACTTGTCGATGAAGGTTTGAAGTGATGATTTTGGGGCTTCCTTTGATTAAGTATCCACTGATTGGACTTGATTGGACCAGCTTAAGGTTTTTCTATGGCACATTTACACAACATGTTTGGTATTAAGTTTTAAATACTTGAGTCATTATTACTTCTAAAGAATCTTGTGATGCACAAGTAGACAGTAAATGGAATACCAGGCAATTCAGTTAGTTTTTTAAAAAGAGCACTTATAGGAAAGAGGTTGAAAATTACGGGACTATAAATGTAACATTTATTGTATGTTAGGAAAAAATGGAATTATATTTATGGATGGCATAAGAATATGTTATGGAAATGATAACATAACAGGTGTGAGTCAGCAAGGGTTTGTGAAAGTTATGTCAAGCAAATGTGATTACCTTTTAAAATGGAATAGAGTTTGGCATGAATAAAAGACATATCTGAGATTGAATAGATCTGGGTTTCAAGAAAGTCGCTAATGAAGTTTCACAAACCAATGTTTGTGTAAGTTCTCTTAATACAAGGTAATTATGTGATTATGATAAAAAGGTGATTAGTAGAATAACAGTGTGTTGGGAAACTGTGTCCTTCAGCTTTTGGTACTGGTACTATTACTCTACTATTTTAATTATTGATTTAGTTAAAGTTACAACATGTACAGTAATAAATATTGCAGAGGATACGGAAATAGGAAGAGCCGTTAAACTTCAGAAGGATGCAGCTGTTTTACTGTATAATTTTGATAGATTAGCTGAATTGGGCTGAAAGGTGGAAAATGAAATGCAGTGTATCTATGTGTTAAGTGATGCAAGTGGATAGGAAGGAATATTCCACAAGTAAAGTATGGTTGAAATAAAATTGAATTCATTGATATGGAAAAAGAAATAGCTTGGTGAGTATTTATTAATGGTCCCAGAATTAAAATGCTTAGTTCAATTTATAGCAGCAGTAAAGGAGTGCCCAGATGGACATTTAATATTAATCCAAAGCTATTGTATTATCACTGCATAAAGTAACTATTAGGCCAGATTTTCCAAGTGTGGTACCTCATTTGCAAACATAAACTAAATATTAGAGAATATATTTAAGCTGAGGGGCACACTTTGAAAAGGGCTGGTTCACCTTTGGTCTAGAGAAAATTAAATTAAGAAGCATGCAACAAGGGGAAGGCTCACTCTCAGGTTCCTAATGAAGAAGAAATAAGACCACTCTCCAAATTGAAACAAATTCAGGGAAAGTCCTATAAATTCTATCCGGGAGATAGAAAATCTTTGAAAGAGAACTGGAGAATTTTTCTACTTATTATCTGTGCGTATGAAGTTTCTTTTCTCCTTGGCAAAAAAATAACCTCAAGGAAAAGAACTGGTTACAAATGCTGTCCCACATTACTGTGCCTGCTAGCTTTTTCATTAAAATTGACCCTGTAAAGTCAGTGTAGATGAAGATTGAAGATAAGGGTGTGCATAAGTATTGACAGGATCAGATGCCATTGATCAGTTTTGCACCTGGAAGTAGCTGATGCCCACAGCCTTGGAGGACCAGGAGGGAATTCTCCATGCCTTCTCCCCAAGATACACATTCATGTGAACACTGAGGGCACATCCAGACAAGTCCGCACGTGCCTTTTGCCTTGTCTCAAAGCAGCTTGAGATGTGGCAAGAAGCACACTGAAAACAAAAAAAATGTTCCCCACACTGCATATTTGGAGCGCGGACTCAACATTTTCTACCTGGATATCCAGGTATCAAAATAAAACACGTGGCAAAAAAGTGGGGCAGGGCACGGTCAGGGAGCTGTGCCCTGAGGTAAGCTGGGAGTCGGTCCTCCAGAGAGATGCTCTGGTTTCTGGCCAGAGCGTCTCTATGGTGGTCCTGCTGCCCCAGCATGTGGGACACGAACCCTTAGTGTGCCAGGGCAAGCATAAGCACAGCAAGGATCAGGACCCAGGCACCGTCATGGGTAAGTTAGGGATGTGGGGGTGGGGGGGTTTATGGGTGTGGGTGGGTGTG